CGTTGTCGATGAAGAGCCATGCAGACACCAAGGCGAGAACTACAAGCAGAGCTTTTCAATTTGTGTTTGAACAGGAAGCCCTTCGTGTAACAAACGCACATCCGAAAACACCAGAGCAAATAGATTTGGAGATGTGGAAAAGATTTAAAAAATATATATATAAATAATTAATTATATAAATAAACAAAAAAAAACTTCTGGTGAATGAACCGTACGTGATAAAAATCAAACCGCAGATTTTCTATTTTTAGAGCGTGTCACTCCTCGTACGGATACGCTGCAGAACCATTTCACCTCAAATTAATCAGAGAAACGGGGAGCAAGGGGAGGACACCCACCCAGTCACACCTTCCATTTGTCAGCCAGTGCCAAACTGGTCCAGAATGGGCACGTTTCTGCTCTTGGAACCAACCTGCCTCTACTCCTGGCAAAAAAAACTCTACAGGCTGCTGGGTCCTGCTGGTTGGGAGCTGCCCCCGTAATTAAAACCAACCCCAATTTTTCTTCCCAACTGGTTTTTTTCCTTCCCCCATTGCTTCTCTCCACACTTAATACTTGTGACCACTGCCCCACATGGCTCGCTCGCCACAACCAGCTTTTGGTCACCGATAGAGGCAGGAAAAACTGTCTCATTTTTAATTTAGCAAAAATACAAGAATTGTGGGGGTATTTTTAAGGGGCTACTGCTCAACCCTCTTCCTTCCAGGCAGAGTTAGGGTGTCCCACTTGAAAACAGCAAGAGTTTTACAGGCTAAAACAGGCCCAGCAGGAAAAATTACAGCCAAGTGTGCGCCCCAGCACTTTGCACTGGGCAGTGGCAACGAGCCCGTGGACAAAACCAAGAAAAGAGTTATCGAGAAGCCAATGGGGGGAAAGAAAAATCAAATAAAAAATCAAAAATCAGGTGCCCTGCCCAAATGAGAGCTGGAGCTGAGACTCTGCAGCAGGACTGGCAACGGCTTTGCTCGACGTGACAGCCTGGAGGAGTCAGGTCACTTGTTTTCTTTGAGCCACAACACACAGAACCCGGCAGAACTGGGAGAAGCAGGTGGAAGAGAGAGAAGTTAAGAAGCAATTAAGCAAGGGTTAGGAAAATCCAGACAGTCCTGACACTCGGATCTAATGCTGAGCTTACCAGTGACCTGTCTCTGGCTAATGGCAGGGAGAGGCGAAGCTTCTGGCTTTGGAACCGTGAAGGGGCAGCACTTACTTAGACAGGATCCTCCTTAACAGCCTTCAACGGTAAATGGTGAAACAGAAAATGTATTTTCAGAGTCTTTTGTGATGCTCTGGAAGAATTCCCTGCACCTGGTTTCTACAGGTGGGATTTAAGAAAAGGGCAGCCCCACGGAGCTGGTTTAGCAGCGTGGGATTATTTCTGCACTGGAAATGCACTCGTTCCCTCACATTAGGGGCACCCCCCAAAAGCTGCCTTGTTTCTAACTGTTTGGAGCTGCTGGCAGAGAAAAATTCCCTTTCATCCGTTTACAGACACACCAAGCTCTGAGTTGCCTACGGGACACGGGGAGGTGTGAGGATATACACACACAGGAATTAAAACCAGCCAGCGTGCAGGAAAGCGTGTTAACTACCCTCTTCCTCCCAAGCCACAAGACACAACTGCTACTTTCAAGAGTGTTTTCTCCACTGTTTTCTTTCAAAGTGTACACTCCCATGTCAAAAAAGGTCCTGATGGAAATGCCTTAGGCCACACAAGTGGTATTTAGTGCCACAGGAGTTATCCTGCTGCAGGGGACACTTCTTTCTCCCTCCCCTGCACTCCCAACCTGTCAGCTCCTACAAAAAATTGCTAATTGAAAGGGGTCTGCCTGGGGGTTCTGTCCCCAAAGAAAGTGGAGGGAGAGGAGCCATAGGACAAGAGGGAAGGGTTTGACACTGAAAGAGGGGAGATTGAGATGAGATTTGGGGAAGAACTTCTTTGCTGTGAGGGTGGTGAGAGCCTGGCCCAGGTTGCCCAGAGAAGCTGTGGCTGCCCCATCCCTGGAGGGGTTCAAGGCCAGGTTGGAGGGGGCTTGGAGCAACCTGGGCTGGTGGGAGGTGTCCCTGCCCAGGGCAGGGGGGTGGGACTGGATGGTCTTTAAGGTCCCTTCCAACCCAAACCAGCCTGTGATTCTATGATTCTATGAAATCACTGCGTTTCAAGAGCGTTCAAATAGTAGGGTTGGTCAACAAAATGGCAATTCACCAGCTATTGAAAAACTCTGGAACTGAATGAAACTGCGAACAAGATGAGACACCGGTAATGCATGAGGCACACAGAGTTACAGTGAGACAACTATGGGTCAGTAATGGAGAGACTCAACTAAAAAACAAACACAAGAAGCAAGGCCTGTGGAAGCACAGAGTCCCTTACTTGAGGGGAGCTGCCAGGAGAGAAGCCTTGATTGGAGACAGGAGAGGTGGGAGACTGGTTGGCTGGGGAGCCAGCATTACTGCGGTACTGCTGGAGTGAAGCCTACAGAACAACACAGAATTAAAGACCATGGGATTGATGGAAGGTTGGAAAATTCTCAAACTTCTGGCGCGCACAGCTGGAGGAAGCTGGGAGAGACCATCCTCTTCAGCAACTCTCGCCGAGAGCAGGGCAGGACTGTCCTACAAGCAAAACTGGTGAAATGTTTCCTCACTGTTCTCAGTTACGCTCAATTTCAAAAATAAAAATAAAAAAAAGCTGGTCAGCCAACGATTTAGGGGAAAAAAAAAGTATTGAAAGCTGGGAATAGCTCAAAAATAATGTAATTTATCCTTTAATTCAGCTGCCGTACCCACACATCCTTAACCTGTGCTTACACTGCTCTGGGAAATCCTCCTTGTTTTACTCTGCCTCGTCCTGAACAGCCTGGGTGTGTTACCAGGACACAAGTGTGTAACCTGGAATCCTTCTCAAAGCTGCTTTTTACCCCAGGACACGGAACAGACACTGTCTGAGAATTCACACCACGTTTTGCAGGTTTATATTACTGATATTTACATCGTTCTCAGTCTTCTTGAGAACACATTTTCAAAGATTTACCTTTTTTTTTTTTGGTCATAAAGAACCCTGGATTTGAACAAATTAATGATCTTAATGGCATTTAAGGAGAACAGTGCACTAATTAACATAAATAGTACAGCTTTTCTCATTATACTTCCTTCAGAAATTAACATCGAGGAAAACCTGCAGTCCAGGTTCTAAGAAAAGGAGTAATTTAACCAGAGAGCTCTGCAGTGTGGGAGAACGCTGCCCCACCAACAATTCTGACACCCAATTCTGGAAATCTTGAAAAAATACATCTTTGTAGCCCTGCGTTGCTTCTTACACACTTTAAGCAGCCATCCCAACTACAGCAAAATTAATTTTAATATCGCTTTACAAAAACTAGAGGTTGCTGGTGAGACCATGACACAGCTCAGACGGCTTTTCGATGAACTAGTGTTAAACTTCAGGTTATTTATGAATGATTTCAGTTGCTTTAAAAGACAAGCACAGCACCCTAAAAGTTAAGGCCTTAAAGAAGTTCAGGATGAGGAAAGCAACACAGAAAGCAAAGAATGAAAATCAGAATAATCTGTAGCTACTGGATTATTAGAATCAAAGCATGGGGACACATTTTGAGGAGTTCTTCCCACTGCTGGATTTGTCTTTTCCTCTTCCCCTTCCAACCCGGAAAGGGAAGTGGCTTCTTTCAAGAAGCACTAATCGGCACAAACCATTAAAAATTTTATCCACTAATTAAAGCCACGATCGAGTGCTAGGATCAATAGACACTGATTTCTTCTCATTCTCAAACCAATTACTGTCACTACGACACTGCCAGGAGGACACAAGAGGTCAGACAACCCAGATCCTACGCAGCAGGGCAGAAGGAGCAGAGAACAAGCTGTGAAATTCTTCCCTCAGTAGCCTGGAACCCTCCTCCTGCTCTGCATTTTGGGTTTTCGTGTGCTGAGACAGACAGAACATTTCATACCAGACCATGTTAAAACAAGCAAGAAAAGAAATCTGTCCATAAATCCTCAGTATACGAATGAACACACTCCAGTTCTTCTGCGCACCCGAAGGAAGCCACAAATCCAATTTTTGAAGTAATAATGTATGGTCTGAAAGTCCTTAAAACAAAAGGGTTCTAAATACAGGAAGTATAGAAAATACCCAGTTCTTTCCAACTTTTGGATAATGTTTGTTAGCAGGTTTCTTTATGGAATTTCTGTTAGCTCCTCCCTCTGGTCAAGGCACAGCGTGTAACGTACACTGTGCTGGGGGTGCGTGACATTTAACAGCCTGAAAACCTACCAGTGCAACGGCAGCAGCAAGATATAAAATAAATGCTGATGTATTAGACTGACGGTTGGACAAGATGATCTTTAAGGCCCCTTCCAACCTAGAAGATTCTGTGATTCTGTATTTAAGCTGGTCCGATCAAACATGGAGTTTTAAGGGACACTGTTTTATGAAACTATGGTCTCTCTAAACGCGTATTAAAGCCCAATTTTCCATTAAAACCCAATTTTCCTCTAGAAAACACATAAATGTGGATTCAACCAAGATGTTTCGACGTCTACTTCAGGCTCTGCCGAAAAGTATATATATTACAAAGGCTGCCCAGCTTTTCCCTGCCACTACGCTGCATTTTTCCAGGTTTTCCAAAGGAAAGCTCCCTCCCTTCCAGCCCTGCCCCACACTTACCGAGTTGATGTCTATTCCCATGGAGGGCTGGGTCTGGCTGCCCGGGGGGGACTGGGGGATGGTGGAGGGGACGGTGACGGAGAGCGGTGGGAGCTGCGTTCCTCGCTGAAGGCCCGAGCTCTGCATGAGAGGAGTGTTCTGGGGCAGGGTACTCGCCACCTGGGGCTGCTGTTGCTGCTGCTGGGAAGTTGTTTGGGTAAAAAAAGGGTAGGGGGGAAGCTGCTGCTCCAGAGACAACGCATCCATAGCCACGGCCTGGAAAAGAACAGTCAAAAATCATCCGCGCTGGCAGGTCGTTTCATTTTCAAGCACATCAAGTTTCACCCCAAGTGAACTTAGGACTAAGTCAAGCTCATCTCACATTTAAAAAATATCTTAACAAAAGGTTCAGAAACAGTCAAGAGCACGTTTCAAAAATCTTAACATCACCCCCAGTGTACAATAAACAAATACTCCAAAAAGCCCAGCTGAATGCCCAGGTCAGGAATTGACAACCCAGGCAGTCGCAGAGTCACACTTATTAACTCAATTAGAAAAGCTAATTGAGCTTCACTCATCAATTAGAGAAGTGTCTTTCAAATTTCACAACTAACTTTGGGACAATACCGTTACAGAAAAGTGTCCCAATAGATGGTTTTTATCACAGTTCTAGAAAAGCAGAAGTAAAATCTGTCCCCTCTCCAAACCGCTCCCCTTTTTAAGGCTCTGAATTAACGAACACATTTAAAGAAAATTACAGAACAAGAGAGATGAAGTTACAGCCGGCTCCTCCTCAGGTAGAGTGAAACAACTCACCTGGGATTAAAAAAAAAAATTAATTCTCCAAGTGAGTTCCTACCTGAGTGATGGGTGACAGAGGGGAGAGCGTCGGAGACATCTGCTGGGACTGTGGTCGCCGCGAGTCCGTGCCCAGGGACAGGGGACTGACCGTCGGCTGACGGTGCTGCTGGGAAGGGGCTGGCGTCGTCGTCATTCCTGCCAGGAAAGGAAAAACCACAGCTTGAATGGGAACAGAGCAATGGATTATTGATATTTGTACAGAGGTAATTACCTCAACGATGAAAAACGCAAGGCCTAAGTGGACAACCACTTAATGCAAAGTGCCGAACGCGCCTTGACCGATCAGGCTGAAACTCGTTAGATAATTCACAATTAATTTTGTCAGGCTGAAGAGCATCAGGGTGGGAGAAAGATCCCTGTGGTTTATCCCGGAGCAGGATTTGTGCACGGAATCTGCCTCTAAACCAAAACAGGCAGAGCAGCTTCGGGGCTTTACAAAAACCACGGGTCTCAGTTCTCGCTCCCGGGCTGCACACGCTGATCCCAGGAAAAGCACATTCTGCTCCATTTGTAAGGGCTGAAACTTCAGGAAGAAGATAACAGATCATATAACAAGGCTAATCAGAAGGCACTTGAGATATTATAAAAGCAAACACTTATTTAATGGAAAATGCAGAAGAAAAACTGGTTACACAGGAAGCACTCCATTTTTAATGGCATAGCAGAGCACAGGAAGGCAGGAAATATCCTTCACACTCTAAAGAGCCACGACCGAGCAGGCTGTAGGAATAAACAATTCAAGCATTGTCATTTTCTTCAAATTCAAGGCAAAAAAAAAAAATAAAATATCAGGAAGTTTTGAACCCTCCCCTATTTTCTGCCTCACCCTAGAGGAACCGAGACACCCTGGAAAGTGATTTCAGGACAATCTGACGAGTGAGCTGTTCTCCCAGAGCTGCCAGAAAGAAGGAATTCACAGGAGCCTTGCGAGCTCCCAGGCACTTGGCAAACGTTCAGGGCTTCCAGGCAAGCTGCCAGGGAGCCAGGAAGCCCGGGCTGCCAAGGAGCCAGCAGGCAAACTGGCTCCAACTGTGCAGATTCTGAAGCCTGCCTGGTTTCCCCTGCCATGTTTTCAAAATCAACACCGTCTCACGGAACATGTCAGTGAACCCACAGACTCAGACGCACCAACGCGTGCTCTGAAATCACTGTTACTTCTCTATAACCTCACAGGTAATTTGTTTCCCCACCTTTTTCTTGGGGGCTGCTGAGGACATGGCCTGTGCGACACAAAGCTCCTGCAAAAGGTTCAAAAGCCTTTATGTTTTTGGCTAAAGAGCTAGAAGATAAAGAGAGGCAAGGAGGGTGTGGAAAAAAAAAAATCAGTTAAAAAAGCACCAAACACTGACTATGCCAAAGATTAAACCATGGGACAGCCTCCAAAGAGAAGCAGAAAATCATCAATGAGTGTATCTTTTTAATTTGTTCTGTCTTTGGTAGATCAGGAAATGTTTTCAAAGCAATTATATACTTACCGGTTTGGTTTTATACTATTTACTTTGCTAATTATGAGTAGGGCAAAAAAAAACGTAGCGACTCAATCTGGCCTAACTCCACCAAAGTAGCTCATTTCTTTTTATACACACAATAGTTCTCTTTGCACAGACTTGGGAAGTTCTGCTTGAGTGACAGCCCATCTCTGAACCTTTAGATAATCTTTTTTGAGACCTGAAAATGGGTTAAAAGATGCCGAAAGCTGCCGCCCTACTCTGTACTTCAACGGTTAAACCATCTTCTTGCTTCATTCTTAAATAAAACCTCTCAGCCATAACACTGCATTAACCTGATTAGAATTATTTCCTTTTCCCAATGTATGAGAGGATTTTTAAGTGGGGAAGGGAATCCTGCCTCAGACAGGAAATATACTTGTATTTTTGGATACAGCGCCTCATTTCTATTCTAGGAACCAAGCGATTGCAATTGTCACTCACAAGAAAAAAAATGCAACCTTCTTCTCAACTATTTGAGTATGACCCAGTGAAATTATGTAAAAAAAAAATAGCAATCACCAGTTTAGGCTGTAAAGTTAAATTTAATCCTGAAATTATCAGGTGATCAGTATATTTTAAACTGCCAGCACAGCAAATAATGTTTGTGTGCGGTTTAAGGTTATTTTAAAATAAAATTATCACTATTGCTGAAGTCCAAAAAGCACAACAAACACAACTGGGACTCACCAGGCTCCAACAGCAATGGTCCTTGAAAAGAACTTGCAACAAAACCTACCTCACTAGGAAAGCACTAATTTCACCACAAAGGCACCACCCTGACAGCAGTGAGAAATTAAGGTGTGCACACAAAGCCCTGCTCTAAAACGTAGCCTGAATATTCAGGATATTTTCAAAACTTAAGCTTAGAAAAACTCACAAGCCTTGTAAAGGCTCCACGTTATTCTTGATTGCTCAAAAAAGAAAATTTGCTTCAGATGAAGCACTAAAGGTTCTCTCTCCAAAAGAATTCTCACACAGGACAAAAACCCCTAACATTCTAAAAGAATGAAAACAAAAGGTTGACTTAAGATATTTCCATAACACAAGTGCTGGGTGGGGTTAAGGGCAATGAATTACAAGGGAAGCAGCTTTGGGTGCCAGTCTCTCCTGGGGTCTTACACATAAAATAAACAAACAAATAAACAAAAACCAAAGAAGATGATTTGGGCAGCAAGAACACGAGAAAAATGAAAGACAATTTGTAAGTCGTATAACTAAATACAGCTTTCTTACTTCTTTGTGCAGAAATGGCCTGATAAAACTCGTTTACAAAGAAATGTCCATCAACATCAACTGCAAAGAGCAATTATCTCTCAGACAAAACAGTAATACCCAGCAAAGAAATCTCCCTAATTGTGAGGTATTATGGACAATCTGTACCAACACCTGAGGACGATGCTCTTACCCTGACTGGCGGTGCTGATGCCCAGGTGAGTCAGGTTGGCAGCAAGATTCCCGGTGCTATTGGAGCTACTCAGGGCTGGGAATGTGGATTCCTCGGGATCTAAGGGTGTGGGGAGCGGGGAAGGGAAGTGGATGTTGGTCAGGTCTGGCAGGGAGCCACCCGTGTTATGCGTGGCAGGAATCAGTGTTGTAGTGTTTTCCTGGTCAGCTGATGGAAAGATGCTAAAAAAGGGAGAAAGAAAAAAAAAAAAAAAGACACATCTCAATTTAAATTTCAGCCTGGACAGATCTATAAAGTCTTTTTTAAAAAGGAAGGTGCAATATACAGAACTATATATTGTATTTCAGAGATGTAACAGCTAGTGGGTCACCCAGAGAGGTATCTATTGCAGTGTTACAGCATCTAAGGACTTCTCAGGAAACTCGAAAGCAAGAATTCAATATTCACATTCAATATATAACATTGATTCTTACAAGATCTCAATGCTCTTTTAAATTTCAGCCTGGACAGATCTATAAAGTCTTTTTTAAAAAGGAAGGTGCAATATACAGAACTATATATTGTATTTCAGAGATGTAACAGCTAGTGGGTCACCCAGAGAGGTATCTATTGCAGTGTTATAGCATCTAAGGACTTCTCAGGAAACTCAAAAGCAAGAATTCAATATTCACATTCAATACGTGACATTCAATATATACCATTGATTCTTACAAGATCTCAATGCTCTTTAGAAAAATTTTCTCAAAACTTACTTGATTCCTGGAACTTCACATGATTTAGGTCTTGATGACCCAGTCTAAAATAGAAGGAAGATATTTTTAAAGGCAAAGATACCGCTAGAGATCAATGCTGAGGATATAGCTCAATTAGTAAGTTTTATTTGATTTAATACATTTCTACAGAACAGCTGTTCTTCTACACAAGAGCTCTGTGAAGAAACTTGTCACCTTCATTGCTTTATGGGCCCAACAAGGCTCAAATTTAAAGAGTTTCTCCTGATAAAATCAAACATGTGCACGCACACATAAAATGCCTTTCTGATCTACTCTTTAGTGATTTGTTGCTAAATATAGCATTTAATCTCTAATCTCTGCAAGTAGTTTGTTTTGGTTGACAATATTTAGAGCATGGGTTTACCTAAATACATTTAGGAAGTAAAATCTCCACACTTTGAAATGCGAGATTCCTACCTTTTTAGTGTCCCATCCTTGCTTAGAGAGAGTTTTGTCTGCCTCAGAGGTGGTTTCCTCCATTCCAGGGACAGTCAGTAATAGAACTGGAAAAAATGAGAACAAAAGGAATCATATTATATATTATATATACTACTGTTATTATACATTATCATGTATTAAGCTTCTCAGTAAGACATTTTCAGATTGGAAGGTTAACCATTTGAAACCTCTTAAGTAACCTATTATCAATGAATATGAACCAGTGGCACTCCACTGTTATAAAACCAAAATTTAAAAAGACGAACACCAGAAGGGACTAAAATCCTATTTAATTGGCAAGGAGACATTATCAGCTTAAAAAAAAAAAATCCCAAATAATACGTTTAAAAAAATTTGGCCTCCAATTTAGTCTGCTTAGATCTAAATGGAAAAGTGTATCTTGGGACTTGGTTTTTCTTATCTTTTGCATTTTGCACAAATGATCTACACCCGCTACATCTGACAGGTGGCCACAGGATGATTCCAGAGGAGAAAAATCCAGACCATCTCCCCTGGGACAGAGAAATGTTACGAAGCTGTTACTTCTCCATATTCCAAGCACGTTTGTTTGTTCAAAGCAATCAACTGTTTCATCGTTGATGAAATTAATGTCACCTGCTAATAGCAAGGTGACAAGAAAACAGCACAAGACAGCCCAGCCAGAGAGATGCATCAACAGGAGCCTTTCACACTGATGACCATAAATCCATATTTATGTAATACTGCTTAAGATCATCATTATTTAATGTTTTACAGCTCTAGAAGGACATGGAAGAGCTGCAGTACAGCGCATACGCACCCGACTGTTGCGTGTTCACCCCTCTCCAGGTGGTTATTTATGGATTAAATTTCTCCACACAGATTTAAGAGCTTTTAATGCATTTCTTGAAGTGGCAGCAGGAAGGAGGGCCAGCAGAGGGCACCAGAATTGTTAGTGCTGGGAGCTGTGCTGCTCCAGCTCCTGACTCCAGATGTTGTCACAGAGCACTGTTTGTCAGCACTGCCTCCGAGGGTGTGCTCACCGGTGATCACAACCCCATAAATATAAATTAGGTGAAGTCTTGCTACTTCCCGATGTGGTATCACTGACCATGAAACGCCTGTGACCTCTACAAACCTCTAGTGCCCCCGAGAGCAGCCCGACCACCAGAGTCCCAAAGCCCAGACTGCTTTTCCCCATAGGGCAAGGTCTTCAAATAACAGAATACGGGGTTCAGGAAAACATTCTATGAGCTTTGTATCATCTTTTCTGGATTTCAGTAGGCAGAAGAGTAAATGTGGTGCTTTGTTCCAATTCCTGCGTAACTGAATCCACAGAGTGTTATCCACATGGGTATTTATAGAAATAGATGAACACCAATAGGTGTGCACATACTCTGACGTACAATGCTTTCAATGTTACACATATTTTTACTGGGTTTCTCCATTTACCTCTTTTCTGCTGCATGTCCTGTGACCCTCCTGAAAAGGATTCTTGTTGAGCTGGGGTCATAGTACTCTGGTGCAAGGCAGAATCAGAATTTGTCCTGAAAGGAAGGAGGCAAACCCAGTATTTTTATTGTCAGTTTCTCTAAATAAGGGAATGTTTACCTCAGATAAATGTAACCAACTCAATAACCAACCCAAATACACTGCATTAAAAAAGTAAAATCTATATATGGTGTATATCAGGCACAATTTCCTGCACAATTCGCAGAACAAATCAGTTCAGGTTTGAAGAGCAATTGTTTCAATAGTGGGATGGAGAGGAATACAGGATAAATTGGCTGCCACCGTTAGAAAATAATTTGATATGCTTTGTTGAGATTATGCATGATCAAATAATGCAATTTTTAAGTGCTTATACATCCTTTCGTTCTACTAGTCTTTGAAAAGAAAGCATTCCTGTTTCACAGGGAGGGAATACGACTGGTTCAGGATGGAATTATGTTGTGGAGATGGGAACCTCCACGCTCAACACATCTCCTGATGAGCTCTCCTTGCCTGGGAATGTAGGCAACCACTTGGGCAACTGGGCATCTCAATGTTGGGAGCAGGAGGGGCAGGACCAGGCAACGAGCAGTGAGAAATATCCAAGTGCTTTACAATTCAACAATTTTGGGGTATGCCTGGGTCCACCCAGCAAGATTTACGCTTAAAAAGATCCCATTAGGTGACACACCTTAAGTTTAAAAGTGAGTCATCTGAAAGAATAAGCATAACAGAAGGAAAAAAAAAATCAATTTCTAAATTCAGGAAGGTACAGCGATTCAGACGACCAGCTGCTGTGGGGAACAATGAAGGCCTCTGTGGCACACGGGAGTGTTGTGGTGTCAGAGAACACAGGCCAAACACTAACACACACGCACACGATTGTGCTACAAACCTTCTCCAGCTCGTGTCCGACGGAGGTGACAGATACACAGTGCCGTAGGGACAGCTGTCCACGTGATTCCATCAGTTAAGGGCAAGAACACCACTTGCTCACTTAAGCAGTAGGCCTATTTGGATGCTTTTTCTAAGGAATAACTCAAATTACCCCATCAGAACCATTAAGTTCAAAGCAGAAAAGCAAGCAGAGCCCCTGTGGGGAACATCCTGACTTTAAAAGGACACTCAAAACAAAATATTTTCTGGGCTATTGTAATGTTTGAGCAACAGGACAATCATCCTCCTTCTCCCTTTCTGAGCATCTAAGTCCTCCCTGAGAAGCCATCATCTCCCCGCTCTCCCACTCGCACGGCCCCTTTAGCCCCATCAAACCAGTCTGATTGCGGCACATTTCAAGCCAGTCAGAAATAATAAGCTAATTCATTTTCACAAACGGCAAGAAGAAATAGCGCTTTGGCAAATGCTAAACCGATGAATCAACTTGTAATAAAAATGCACAACCAACTGCAAAGAATTAGTCTGGTTTGGGTTTACACAGTTCTGAAGGGAAACTCAGTTTCATCGAGACCGCTTCGCCTTTTCCATCAAAGGATCTCAGTCCCTCTCAGCTTCATGTGTATCATTATCCCCACTTAGAGCCGAGGAAAGAGAGAAAGGTAAATGCTTACTCTACAGAATAGTAGGTATTTATAGACTACATCCCAGTTCAGAAAAAGCAGCTGACATCAACTGCACAGATAAATGGGAAGCAACTCCACTGACAGGTGAGGAAGGGAGGAAGAAGGGAACTCCAAAACCTGAAAATTATGGTATTGTTGAAGAGGTAGGTGTTGGCTGCCAGCTCACGAGCCAAAGGATATTTGTCTTCCGTGTTTATCCACAGAGAGAGGGCGTCGATGCGGGGAGCCCAGGCGGTTTCTGTCACGATACACTCTGTCCACCAGCCCGTGATGCCGGGTTGTTCTGCTCGTGTCCAAAGCTGACGACTGAAAAGGAGTCTGAGAGGAGAGACACATGAAGTTACACACAGAAAAACACACACACCGGCACCCAGAACCTATCCAGATCCTACGCAAGGCTCCATTAGTCTAAGGAATAAAACTCAAAAAAAAAAAAGATATGGACGAGTGTACCCACGTACATTTTCCCTCCAGCAACATTTTCGCTCCAGCCACGGAAAGCAATTAACCAAGGCTATCTCTTCCAGACAGAGCTCAGAGACAAGTGGAGGCAGACCATGCTGGACCTGCCCTCTCATCAATCAGCGCTGCTCTCCAAAACTTTGCATCTCTAAAATACCACAAGTGAGCGTGGCAGGGAGCCTCCTGCCATGACCATTCCCTCGGTGTCACATGCAGCATGCAGCCAGGAGGAACGTGCCGACAACCGGAGCTCCAACTACAAGGGCAGGAGATGGGGGAAGAAGATGCACCCTGAGCCTAACGTTCCCCAGAACACGCCGCCTTCTCTCAAAGCTTCCCTTCACCCCTCCTTTTCAGGGTAATTATTTTAAGGGGACACTGATAGGATTGAAAGAAAAAGAAAAGCAGTTTCCTTCCTCCTCTGTCTAGAAAAAAGTTACGGCATCCAATATTTTTGGAGTGATGTTCATTTCCTTCAGGTCGCGCAGCGAACCCAGCTGGGCTGAGTCCACCCCGAATCTTATCAGCGCTGGTATCTGGAGAGAGTTTATTGTCAGAGAGTGAGGGTGGCAGAGAAAGGACAGGGGAGATGAATTCCCAGGTTGAACTGGAAAACTTCTCCCACGTTTTCAAAAGCCCTTCCCAGTGTCTACCTGGGGAGAGGGGGGAGGAAAGGAAGTATGGAATGGTCAATCTCTACTCATACTTCCAACAGCAATATATGGGTCTCAGGGGGGGGGAAAAAAAAAAAGCTACAGAGTCTTCCACTCCCTGCCAATGTGAACAGCTTTGCTGAGTCCCTCAACACCATCTGTTTGGAAATCCAAAATTTCCTCCTCCATTCAGGTGCTGCACGTGGCAAATGCACTGTCCTGGCTGCCAAGCCATGAAACCATCTGGCTTCCACGTTCATCTCGGGTTTATTTTTTAAAGTGTCCAGCCTTGGTTGTTTAAATGGTTATTTCTAAAAAGTTTTACAATTAGTTTTAAATCTTCTGTTCGTAATAACTTTTTAAAGAGTCCTCTAACTATTTTAAACTCTTTTCTATTTAGCAAATATTAGTCTCCTCTCCCTCTATGCACACACAACCTGTGCTAATATAAATGGAGGCAAAGTGGCCGCGGTGTTTATTTTCTCATTTCAGGGCCAGCACTTTCTATGCAGCAGAATATTGCTTAAGTCAACACGGGACGAGCAAGAGAGCACAGTGACTTTTTACTGCACTGTCAGTCCCTAAGATCATGGTGTTTTGCTTTAGTTCCTTAGCACATATGACTTCCTTGTATGAAGAGTTAGAAAACTTCAAGTCATAGCATCTCAATTTTAAATAATCCAAATTAAAACCCCTTGGTTTCATCTCTGCTGCAAACACTGAATAAAAACCTAGTTCTACTCAACTGGCACCACATACAACTGGGAATGCTCGCAATTCTAAAACAACAACAAAAGTTCTTAAACTCTTCTTTGTGCTTTTGTTATATCAATTCCACCCCAAGAGGCAGGAAAATTTGCAAATACATGCGTGTTTGGAAGGTCAACAGGAGAAGCAATTTCTTATGTCAGTGGCATCAACCACAAAGTTACTAAAAAAGGAGAAGGCAGTGTGAAGCACACAGAATGCAGACCTCACCTGGAATTTAAAAGGAAGCCAATGCATATTAGTATATAGACAAAAAGCTGTATGCAAAAAATAGTTATTTCTTGAATTTCTTTCTCTGGCACAACTTCTGTATTAAAAACACACCAAAAAATCGAATTTGAGTTCAACAGTGGCACAAGGAGACATGGACCATGCCCCATCACAGGGCTACAATTTAGAGAGCGAGGAGTTTTTGGGCAACCCTGTTCTCTGGCTTTCCAGGAACAAAGATCCCAGGTGAATCCCTAACCTGCCCGGGGAAATCCAAAAAGAATACAAACATTTGAGGAAATGGGTATCACCTCCAACAGGTTTGGCTCCTCTGAACAGTTTTCACCCCATGAAACCTACCCTGGACCAAAACACCAGGCAATACACACTTATCAAAAGCCCCATCCTGGCAAGGCACGTCAGACTTAAATATAGTAAACAAAATTTAAAAATGTGAATAAAAAAAAAAAGAACAGGTCTGAGCATCAATTTTACTTGGGTAATGAAGAAAGAGAACTTTTCTGCTTCCCTGAAAAAACATTCAGGGATTTGAGATCAGAACCAAAACTTCAGAAAACACTAAAAACCAAAGCAGCTAAATACAGACAGGAAGGAAAAAGCTGCGTGCTCTGAAGCAACAGTGTCCCTTTAAGATTTATCAAGGCATCGACTTCAGGAATAAATACGAGCGAGGTGGATGAGGGGGAAAGAGAGGAGTGGGACCTACTGAGGGTTCACATTTCGGTGCCTCCTGGAGCCAAGCAGCGTCGGGGTTATCATTCTGCCCTTCCCGATGGAGTTCAACATGCAGGCTAAGTGCGCATGCGCAGAGATGGCTTAAATCACAGGCCAAGACAGAGCCAAAGAAACCACCGCCTGCATCAAATTAATCCCCCAGAAATCATAAGTAATCACACGACAGAACCACAGCAAGTCCGGGGGAGTCTGTACAGGAATTATTATGCATGTTCCAAACCGGGATGCATGGCAAAACCTGTATTTATGTGACAGACCATAACTCCTTTAGAGCTGGGAGGGTGAATCAAATAAATACTGTGCATACCAGGAAAAAAAAGAAAAAAAAAAAGTGTAACATGTGCTAAAATACGTATCTACCTGGGCAAACAGTACACCAGTCCTAAATACGTATTTGCACAAACCTAAATACTTGTTTACCAAAGAGACAGGAACTGCTCCAAAGGCTTCTGCCAGAGCTCCGTTGTGCTGTAAATGCAAAGAACCAAGATTCTCAGACACTAAGGCTCCCACAGGCTTCACCTGATCCGCACATCCCACAAGTATCTTTTGGCAATTTCATCGTATGTTAGCTTAAAATTGAAAAACCTGGAAAGCATTCATCACCGATAGCAATACACGGCTTTATTTCATTGCTTGTCACCATTTGTTATCTGAAATAGGATCAACTTTGGAATTTTGTGTGTGTGTGTGTGTATGAAAAAATATATTAAAAAAATATCAAACACCCTGGAGCTTAAGGACAATTTGTTTCCGTATCCTCCTCTAGTCATTCATAAATTTTTGAATACTCACTTTTCAAGCATTCCATTAGTTTCAGGACTAAAAGAATTTCTGTAACGGCCATCAAGCACAAAAATACTGAAATACTACTGCTTAAAAAGAACGTTAACTGTGAACCTCCTTAACAAGAACCTAAAGATAAAATCTTGAATAGACCACAAACTTGTGGAATAACACTTAGGGCTTCATAAGCTTAGAGACCCCTGCACTGTATTCCCTAAATCAGATTAAAACAGATATTTGCTTCTCCTCTTGCCCAAAATTCAATGTATGAAAAAATATATTAAAAAAATATATAAAACCCTGGAGCTTAAGGACAATTTGTTTCCGTATCCTCCTCTAGTCATTCATAAATTTTTGAATACTCACTTTTCAAGCATTCCATTAGTTTCAGGACTAAAAGAATTTCTGTAACGGCCATCAAGCACAAAAATACTGAAATACTACTGCTTAAAAAGAACGTTAACTGTGAACCTCCTTAACAAGAACCTAAAGATAAAATCTTGAATAGACCACAAACTTGTGGAATAACACTTAGGGCTTCATAAGCTTAGAGACCCCTGCACTGTATTCCCTAAATCAGATTAAAACAGATATTTGCTTCTCCTCTTGCCCAAAATTCGAGCTTTTAACCTCCACAAATTGAGCTGACAACACATATGTCTAAACGCAGAGGTTGATGTTTCATCAATACTTTCTGGGTATTTATGAACTGCCTTCAGAACTGTCATCAGAAAACCACAAACTGCAAAATTTCATTCTTACCACATCCTTGTGAGATAAAATATAAATGTTACTGGCTCAAAAAAGGAAAACTAATGCAGAAATTTTAATTATTTTGAGGACCCTCCAGAAATCAGGAGTCCCACAAGTATCCATCACCCAACCCTATCCTCTGTACAGCACCTTCTGCCCAGACGTGCTCACTCCCAGCAAAATATTCACATAAAACACTGATTTTCTGTTAATAGTGTGTTATTTCTGGAGTCACAGCAGCAGGAAAAAATAAAGCCAGTACATCCCTACATTTACTTTTCAGCCAGCCCAAAGAAAAGTGACTATTCTGACTCTGGTGTGGGTCCTGTTCCCCCTTCTCTCCTAAAACCCCCACATTACTTTCATCATTTGCTTCCATTTTTGCACTGAGTCTACAGTATCTTTGTAGATTTTGTTATGAATTTGGTACTGAACAAAAAAAAAAAAAAACCTAAACAAACCCACCTCCACGAATATTCACTGACAAATTGCATCGCCTCTGCCTACTCTTGACATAAAAGCATCAGAAATGGGAAAACTAACACTAAATACATACAATAAAATATATCCACACATCCCATACACAACTATAGTCCATTCCAAAAAAAGCAAAAATTTTTAAAACAGGGTGATTTGCTGAGGGCACGGTGCTGTGTTCTGCACCAGCAGGTAGTTCACGGTCTTCTGGGAGGAAAAAATAGCATGTAGGCAGAGTATTAATCAAGCCAAAGAAAGAATCCCCCTGTTGAACTCACCTGGAAGGGCAGATCCATGGCACTGTTTCCAATCTGATTCACATTTGGCAGCGACCCACCGTAGTACTGGCCACGACTCTGTCCCAGTTGCAAATATTGGGTTTTCTGCAGCTGTAACTAAAAGAAAGAGAGGAGGAAAGTGTAAGAGCAACTCATTTCTTTTTTTCAACTCTTTTAACTAACTCCACACCACATCCACTGTTGTCGAGAGCATCGATAAACAGCATGAATTCAACTTGTGCCCTCTCAGCAAAGCGTGGCTGGGAAGCCACCAGGGCAGGTCGTGTGTGACAGCGTGAAGGGATGGAAGAAAAATCAACGTCCACTGTTGTTGAGCATCGATAAACAGCATAAATTCAACTTGTGCCCTCTCGGCAAAGTGTGGCTGGGAAACCACCAGGGCAGGTTGTGTGCGACAGCGTGAAGGGATGGAAGAAAAATCAACTCCATATTCAGTGAACATATTCCATTTCCAACAAATTACCACCACGTGAAACCCCATGGTTCTTATGTCACCTGCTATTCTGAAAACCAGGAGGGAAAATACCCCGGGTCGGTCTGATTGTGACTCTGATCAGAGCTGGTCCTGTGTGTGACACACACATAAGAAAGTCACTTTAATTTAATATATTAAGTGTACTGTTTAACCAAACATTCAACCTTTCAGCTCCCCAGCTAACAGAGATGATGCAGCTTTCCACCAGCAGGTGAGTATTCTTGTTTCTTGCACCAGGAAAAGCTCTGTAGGGAGGGCAGAGACACAGGTTTTCAAAGAAAACCCAACCAGCCAGAGAAAAAAAAAAACAGCAAAGAATTCCCTACTGAATAGGTACGTGTGAAAATAAATCTGACAGTCTCCAATGTCACAATAAACCCTCAGCACCGCTCTTTGGTTCTGAATGACACCTCTCTACTGACACATTCTACACTTTCACGTCATCGTGTGCATTTCTGGTATACAAAAAACCGTGCGAGAGAAAGCTGTGTGTTTTCTACTCAAACATCGACTTATTTTCACCATCACTTCATTCAGAACTCTATACCATCCCAACAGTTCGATAATAAGCCCAGCAATTTTTGATTAATCTTTTGTTAGTGACCTTTCCTCAATCTTTTAGTTTAGTAGCACCGATATTAACAATCATTTCCCAGTCAATTCTGTAATGTTGCCTAGATTTAATACCGCCAAAGCTCTATTTTGCACTGATAAAGCAGAATTTGCAATCATCTGAACACAACAATCCAGCTCCCGGGGATGCATCTTCCAAGGACTCAAGAAACTACAATTAAAGTAGCAGAGAAATGAGCTTACATAAGTTCCCTCTCCTCCCACGGCGGAGGAGTACATATTTTATAATGTATGTTGTTCCTCGCTAGATGTCAACTAGTTTTGCACTCTGAAATGCAAGAACATTCCTAGATTGGTAGCAAAGAATTGTTTAAAGACTAAATGTTCAGCTCTTGGCCTAGATGCAGGTTGGTTGCTAAGGTACTGGAGTGTGTACATCAACAAATCTGCTTTAGTTTCATTCAAACAGATCCGAAAGCCTTCGCCTCCCAACGCCGGGATTTGGAAGAGCAAAGTTGGGAAAAGTACTAGAAAAAGGCGGGCATCCCCAAAACGGGATGTTTACATGGGGTTTTGTTGGTTTGGTGGTGGTTTTTGTTTTTTGGTGTGTTTTTTTTTTTTCGTTACACTTTCTTCAAGCAAAGGAAACAGCAGGATGGAACCGAGTGGCTCTGCCTCTACAGCTTCACCACAAAGGCCCGGCGGTTGAGCGAAGATCTTTCTAGCACTTTCCGTCCCAACAAAGCAACCTGTGCAGAGAACGCCCATCAAAGGACAGCAAGGCAAGTGGGGATGCCCCAGTGGTGATGCCACCCGAGATACCACGCTGGGAGGGCCAAGATAGGACAGGGAGAAACGAGACCTGTCTATCTATCCCTAAGAAAGGAACTCAAATACCCTTTATTCTCAGAATCTCCCCTAGAAGCCACCGATTTCATAGAATCACAGAATGGTAGAGTTGGAAGGGACCTCAAAGATCATCCCATCCCACCCCCTGCCCAGGGCAGGGACACCTCCCACCAGACCAGGTTGCTCCAAGCCCCATCCAGACTGGTCTTGAGCATTTCCAGGGATGGGGAAATTTCCAAATATACATATAACCAAAACCTTTATGCTTTAGCCAAGGGGCCAAATTAATCCAAAAACTCACAAAACAACTCTGAGATATCAAACCTCTCTATTGAACGGGCTCTCAAAGCCTCAACTCTTTGAACAGGACACCAGCCACAACGTGCCCGATGGGTTTTTTCCTTAACAAAAGGGCAGATAAACCCCTTCAGCCCCAAGATTTATAAAACATTCCCAGTGTGTCATATCAAACGGTTCCAAAAAGAAAATATCCCACCTAAAAAGCAGGAAAGGGCCCTCCCCTCTTTTTTTTTTTGTTTTTTTTCCCTTTTGCAATCTTTTGACACGCAATTACAACCCGGCGCTCTCTAAGCAATACGTGAAATTAGAGAAAGGCTCCGCGCTGGTATCGCTTAATGAGTCACAGCCCCGTTAAGGCAGAGCTGCAGAGCACTAAAAGCACAATATCAGAACTAGCTGTGCTTTTCGCCTGGCCCGTACATATGTTTTTGTTGTTAAAAAAAAAAGGCTGGCTTGGGATTTGTGCCAAACACTGAAGTAACTATTTCAACAGGTGTTGGTTTCTTTTAAAGAACCTACTATAAGACGCCCAGGGAGGGGTGTATTGGGGGGGGGGATTGCTTTATGGTTTTTTAATGTTTTAACCTTCCCCGGTACAAACCTACCTCAAAGCACAATGTAAAGAGGAGGTCACGACTATTTGTCTTTCCACTCTAAGTTAAAGGTAGAAATGAGGAAACGCCAAGAGATGGAGAACTAAAGCGGTTCCCCAATCCGAGCTCGTTAAAGGGCTCTGCAGCATCATTAATTTTAGCCACGCTACCTTCGATAAACACTTTTGGAGATGCCTGCCAAAAAGAAGGGAAGCGATGGCTCGTTATTGCTATCGTATATCATCACACCAGCGCGTGGGTCTGGATTTGTTCCTCTCTCCGGCGAGCGGCCCCCAGACTCCGCCGTTCAGAGGAGCCCATCAACAACTGCCACTTGCAATCTGGGAGGGATGAAGAGGAAGCAGAACAGGCCACGTCGCCGAGCGCCTCCGATCTCTGGCTTTTTTAGTGTGTTAAAAATAATAATAATAAAAAAAAAAAAAGCATGTTTAAATACCGCGACGTCAGATCTCGCTGCTGCTCCAATGGGAGAGCGCAGGGAAAACCAGCTCCGGTGCTTCAAAGCAGAGGATCAGCAAAAAAAAAAATAACCTGCAAAATTCATGCTTGGAGAGAACTCCGGAGTCTCGTGTCTTACTGAGGGGACCTGGGCACCAAGAAAAAACAGGACTGAAAATGAAAACCGACAGCGGTTGTGACTAAAATGAGCATTTCCTCCTCTTTCTGTAAAACTACCTCGCGAAGTGAATTAAGTCTATGGCACAATTTGGGGCCTGGGGATTAGGTTTGAAGAGGGGGCTTGGGGGGGTTTTATTTTAAAAGCAAAAAAAAAAAAAAAAAAAAAGCCTTTTCTTAATATAAAAAACTCAGATTACTCTTAAAATGTTAACAAGTCTCATGACAACTCCAGCTTTATCTCCTGGGGTTAAATTCAATTAGCAGCAACTTGCTTTCTATATGAATTTCGATAGTGGAGTACGATAATGAATTACTTAGTGTTCACCAGATATATTAATTTCTTGAACCACGAGAACTCGGTGACTCTACATTACAGCTTTTCCATTTATGTATTATGTGGCCAAGATAATAGCTCCTTGACAGCTGAAAATATTGCTAAATATTCCAGTTCTTTCCTGAGAAAGCTTTCGGTAAGGAAAAAGCTTTTGCTTGTTAAACCCTTTTATTCCTGCTTGGCGTTCTTGTGCAGAAGAAATGTTTCCCCAACGACAGATCCTAACTGAAGCTGTAATTTTCCCTCCACCAGCATTTCTCTTACGCTGCTTAAAGAAAAAAAAAATGAAGTTTTTTAAGTCAAAATCCAATTTCATCGTTAAAAATCAAATACTTCTGCATGAGCAGCTTTCTACAATAGCTGAAAACATTCCCCAAATAAAAGGCTGACACACTGTTGGTTCGTCAGGTTTGAAGTTATGGTAAAACAAAGAAATTTCTGCAAGGGCCAAGAGTAACACTCCGCGGGGCGGCAGCAGCATCTTTACAGCAAACAGGGAAGGATTCGTTACCTTTCCGTGTAGTAATTAGGAATTTGCAAGCAATTACACTCTTAACTCAGCAAAGAGCCAAGTAACGTGACGTGATCTCACTGTGGTTAATGGAACTGGACACACACAACTTCGGGGAGAAATCAAAAATATTCGATTTAACGCAATTTCTGACTTGCTAACAATGGAACATTCTTCCAGACACTGGTTTTGATGTGAACCCATTTATATGAACGATCTCAATTTTTCCATTCGGATTGGGTTAAAGTTTTACTGGACATACAGCTGTGTTTGTGGGGAGAGATTCAAGTTATACAATAAAAATAAAAAAAAAAGGAGAGAAACATATCCCTGAAAGCATATCCAGTTTTCCTACAGACTTTTTAAAAAAGGAGGGAAACATATCCCTGAAAGCATATCCAGTTTTCCTACAGACTTTCTAAGTGTCCAAAATATGCAGATGGGAATCAAAGGAAGCATTTATTAAAATTCAACACTTCACCTTCTCTGAATTCATCCCCAAAAAATCCTGGGCAAATTACAAACTTATGGACAGAGCTTAAATGGAATCGAACGGCAAATCTGACACTGGAATGAAGTCAATCAAAATCCACTATAACCGTTTCTTTTAAAACGCCCTTTTTAATACATAAAAATTTGATTCCCATAACTGTAATAAAAGGGTGGAGTGTCCGTTTGATAAAAAACCCCCTAAGATATCTGATGAATACAGGAAGTAAGATTTCATGATAACTGCTTTTTTGCCGGTTTGCAGTTTCCATACCAAGCTTTCTTACAAATTTTAGCTTTTCACTTCAGAGACCTTTCTCTTTAGCATGTTGAGACTAACAAGCGGCAAAACGAGTGCAGATTAAAATTAGAAATGTATTATTAAAGCTTAATTGGAAATTAAATTCTGTTTAAAGGATTAACTGGAAGTTTTAGAGACTGCATTAGAGGTAAATCCTGTTGCTCAAAGCAGTTCAAAGTTTCCCAGTTGGATCCGCCTGAAGTTTCTCAGGAAAGTTTTCTCCTCGAGCAACCAGAGGCAGGACCCACCACAGAAAAAGAATATCCAGTTGCCTGAAGATTTTAAACTGGCAGGGATTGATTTGGCACCCTCAGTAACATCTCACTGCTATTTTCTGATCTTTCCCTAGGAATGAACTCGCAGCCCAAGCCTCGGTAGAAAGCTCTGCCTCAATGAAAAGGCTCTTCTCTGACTATT